AGAGAGAATTGTCTTTTAAAAGATAAAATAGTGTATTATGCTTGACATCTGCGAGGGCGCCCACAGGCAGCGTGCCACTACGAGAATGCCTGCCTGGTTCCTGTAACTTCTCGCATGGGAAACCAGAAGGCCTCTGCGGACCTCAGTGTCCCGGCGAACGATGGGTGGGAGACGCTCCTTCAGATAATGCAGACCAGGCGTTTAAGGGCTTTAAAGGTCAGCACCAACAACTTTGAATTGGCTCGGAAACGTACTGGAAGCCAATGCAGATCTCTCAGACGGAGTGATGTGGCCTTTTGGGCACCACCCACGTCCACCAGTCTACTGCCGCATTCTGGATTAATTGCAATTCTGGGTCACCAATAGGTAGCCCCATAGACAAGGCATTGCAGTAGTCCAAGCGGGAGATAACTAGAGCATGCATCCACCTCGGCAAACAGTGTGCGGGCAGGTAGGTCTTAGCCTGCGTCAGCAGGTGGAGCTGGTAGACAGCTGCCCTGGAACAGAAGATACCTCTTTCCTCATGGACAGCTGTGATCCAAAATGACTCCCAGGCTGCGCACACCTGGTACTCAGGGCACAGTTACCACCTTCAACCAGTGAATGCCCCACAACTCGCCCACCCCTGTTCCCCGGCCAAAACAGTCTTGTCTGTCAAGGATTCAACGTCAACTGTATCTGCATCCACTCCTAACCACTCAGGCATCACACAGGACTTCAGCGTTCACGGTCCATTAAGGAGGAGCTGGAGACGGGTGTCATCTGCATACTGATGAATATCCAGCACTACAAAATAGAAATAATATCTGACCATTTGATACTCAATGCCTTCAGTGGTCACATATTCATCTCTTATGTTGGAATCTATAATACCTGAAAAAATCTCAATTTCTTGTAATGGATTAACTTTCCTCCAACTCCCACATCTTGGACAAACATGCTGCTCGGATGCTAATTGGAATGCAACAGCCCCCTGGCAGCCACAGTGTCCCACCTTTCTCCAGCAGAGAAACAGAAAGGGGTATGTTTCTGTCATCCATCGCACAGCCCTTAATATTTTTGCAATGGAAGGTATATGGCTCTCGTAAAACCTCTTCCTTCCTCTACACTTCCCTTATGTTAGCTTTTTCAGTGCACAAAGCTAAACTTACACTAAGAAGTCAAGTGAAGGTACATTAAAGGGGCCCTGCTAAAGAATCGCGTTAGAGTCACCCAGCCAAGTCCGTGTGGACCAGGATAAGGGTGGGGTATCTGTAGCCTCCAGGTGTGTTGGACTCCAAGACCATCAATGGCGCGCTGGCACCGCAATGTGCCTAGGAATGATGGAGTTGTAGTCCAGCAACTCTGGAGACCATTGATATTCCACGTCCTCTCTGTAGACAGAACGACTGAAACTAGGTGGAGGATAGCTCTGACCTCCATATGAAAGTGAGCCTCCTTCATAGCCAAAATGCCCTGAGGAAAGAAAAGAAGATGAGGCAAGGAGAGGCAGGACTGGGTTCAACAGAAGGAAAGACAAAAGAGAGTGAAGTTAGGAAAGGAAGGCAGCAAAAGCAGTGGAGTTCTACTTACTCAAGGTCTCCAGAGAAGTACTCAGTGAAGGTGAAGAGGAGCTTGGTTGTATGATCGTGGCAGACAAGTCCTTTTATAACGATTCCAAGGACTGCAAGCTCCCTCCTTGTAGACCAAAAACTGCCTTCAGGTGTCCTACCCACAAAGGCCCTGACTAATTTATGGAAGCGGACTTCATCCAGTCCATCCTGAGCCGCCCTCTATTCATTACATCTGTTTATCCAATTCCATTTCCTTTTCATTATCCTCCTCATTTAACGCTTTTGATGATTAATTATGATTACGTTATCAATTGGTGCCCCTGCTCTCGTAAGAGATGCGTGCTTGTCAAGGGCTACAAGCCCCTTATCCACTGAATTCTAGAGGATGTCGTAATCAATCTTCCCTACGCTGGGAGGGTTTAAAATGTGTTTTAAAAAGCATTTAAACTTCCCTATAATCCCTAAATATGTTGCTTAAACAAAGCC